TGTGTATGTCAAAATTCCCGCAGAAAAAGGTAAATCGCGACACCCAAAACTCGTTATTCCCTGGGAGGGGCCATTTCGCGTTCTTAGGGCGTCAGAGAATTCCGCCTTGGTAACGCTTATCGGAGAGAATAAGCCTCCGAAGGAGATACCCTTTGACCACCTGATCAAAGTTCCCTCACAGATTAGTGATAAACCAGTCAAGGGTTTGACAAGTCGCTGCGGAAAACGTGGCAGGCCCAAGAAAGCAGAATTACAATTCAAAAAAATAATATCCAAGACGTGTTTCAGAATTCATTATTCTAATTTCAGGACGACGTTCTCATCAACAAGCGATGTACGACATGTGGACTGGCGATGTCCTGGCAAGCTGTTGTGTCAAGGAGTTGAAGTCGAATGCTCCGTCGAAGCAACATTGATCGATATTATTCCCAATGCCCCATTTGGCGCCCTGAAATTTTCGTCACCTCATGAACTGGCTCGAATGTTATCTGTTTTGACCCAGTCTCATATCCCGGAAGCCTGGCGGACTGCTAGACTCTTGGACCGTTCATACGATCTTCTAACACCATGCGGACTGGGCATGGCGCTATCATTCTACCAGCAGCACTGTATTCATTCCACACTGGTGTCGGTATCTGAAGCCGGAAGTGTGCTTCCTGAGCATCCACCTCGTAGCAGATTCGATCCGTACAATATGGCAGTCGTTGCGGATGCAGCACGGCGTTATGCTTCCGATCACCCGTGGACTAATTCCTTATGGAAGGATTTGACGCTGAGAAAAAACCTTGTCATACTGCCAGCCGGGTTCGAGAAAGTAGTGGACTGCCTCAAGGCCGACAATCAAATAGCTGTCGTCTTGAAAAAACCTGAAGATCTGCAACCGGACTGGTTGAATGAAGACTATTCTTCGATACTACTGTTTAGTCCGGCGGAGTTCGCCGGCACCACAAGATGGCGCGGAGCCTGGACGCTCTTACTGCAGTCGGTGGCCAGAGGCACGGAACTGATTGGAATTGCGGGGCCGATGAACGACAAGCAGTGGAAAAGTCCGTGGATATGCTACGGGACCTGTTCGACGAAACAGTAGCGCAACGTCCATCTTTGAAGGACCGTTTACGATGCCTGTTGCCCCTGCGGTCGCAGCAAGAGGTCATAGGAGCAGGATTCTCTACGACCACGTATGAGGATGGGAAGTTGTTCACTCAGAGTGCTGCCAAGCGCTTCTGGGCGGCAACAATTACACAGTTTTCCTCTCTGCTCAAATTATCACCATTTAAAAGAATGGATGAATACAGCAGATCTACTGCTCCCTTGCACGATCATCACAGAAAGAGCCTTTCTTGGAAAAGGCAGCAGCGAGGCGGTCAGTACTCTCGAGCCGGATACGGTTCAGAGCGAAGTCTTTCTTGGAAGCCTAACCATATCAACGGCAATAAACGTTCTAAAGCTGGACCAGCTTCGCGAAGCTCGCTGGATCACAGACCTCTGCAAAGAATCGGGAACAAAATTTTCAAGTTGGTCCGCGTAGAAACAAAGGGGCGTGATCACCGCCATTTAGGATCTAGGGGGCGTGGCGGCCGAGGATTGAAGCCATTCAGGCAATTTTGATATGGCGTAGTGGAAACGCCTAGATTTTTGGGCCCCCCCCATGTAATGTATATGTAATGTACATAGACTCGGGTTCGAGACTATTGGGAAGTCACGCCGCGGCCTCTGAGCGGTCGTAAAAACGGGGCTGCACCGGCGGGTACGCCGCGCAGCTGCCTTATCCCCAGGTATAACAGCTGCGATGGCTACAGTTCCCTCGACGGCCACGCCCACTTGCTATAAATAGGCCTATTGACAGTATAGGCCAGCTCGTCTTCTTTGTAATTAATAATTTTTGTCTTGCTACTTTGTATCTCATTGTAATAAACTTTTTCATCTATTCTCTTCTGTACATTTCTGAAGTTGATTCATCAGTCGGATTTGACTGTTAATCGGGGAAAAACCCACTAGACACTCAACCACACAGCTCCCGCGGTAAAAGTGGCAAGAACAATTGCTTATCACTTGAAACCGTAGCTGATAAGTAATTCCTCAATGAGGGGAAAAAGCAACAGGAGCCCTCAAGAACACCACAAACGAAGTTGCTCCCTTACAGTTACACCGCCCTGCGATCCGTGGGCAACCCCCGGCTTGAAAACCTCTTTACCACATCTCTCTGTAGTGGATATCATCCAATGCAATGAAAAGAATACGAAAAACAATAAAACTCTGAAGAAAACTCCTGAAAGGCAAAAAAACTTTCAAAGACACAGCGTCCGAATTTGGGTTACGGTAGCGAGCGGCTTTTAGTGCATGTTGCCAGTCGAGCTTGCACAACAAAAATTGTATCACTCGTGATTTCTATGCGTTTTACCTTACGAGATGGTTGCACTTGACTGTATGTGCTCTCAATGAATGAAATGTGATAAAGGAGAGCAGAGTTATTTAAGGGCACCATCGCGGTCTGCAAAAACGACTTGCAATCCCGAGTATTGCCCGCCGTCCCAACAAAGAGCAACTGAGCGGATTTCCGTCAGAGGGCAGCTAGCAAGAGGCGGTTCAACTGAGCGGGCGTTAGAGCTAGAAATTTGAGCGGCTGAAGCTCGCTTCTCGCTCACTGTGGAGTTGGGAGAGTGGGATAGCATCTAGCTTGAGGGCTGAACTACCTGTACAAGGAAGGACGACCATGGGCTACTTGAGCGCGGGGGCTGTCTTTAAGACCAAAAAGGCGGAAATTCTGAAGGAAAAATCAAAATTCCGCAAAAAGACAGAATTTGCAGTATTTTCCTCGATATGGTGCAAGGCGCACACGTTTTCTATGCAACGACTGGCTTTACTGTTCACAAAACCATGGTGTTCCATTTTTCGTTTTTGAGGAGTTCTACGACATTATCTTGACCCATAACAGAATCCTGCTCTCACTACTGTGATGCGAAAGAAGACTGAAAGAAAACGAAAGAAGACTCATGTTTCCATGAATATGAGAAATGTCAGCATAAAAGAGCGAATTTCCAAGCATTCTAAACGTTTCTGAACGTACAGTGCTATCGTGTCCGCAACACTAAAACCGTAGTCTAGTTCTGAAGAGCGCTTCACATCTATTCGCCAGGATAAATGCATCACCCACCGCTCACAGGCCAAGTCCACTGGCGTCGACCTCGCAGTCAAGCTCAGTAGCATTAATGAGACAAATATG